TAATACTGATAATGGTGAAATTCATAGACTCCATAAGAAGGATGGATGTTCCCACCAAGTCACCACACTAAACTTTAGAAAGATGACTGTCACCATCTTGCTAAAGTTGTTTTTTAGTTATCAGAAGAAACTTGTCTTTGGATTCGGTGCATCACAAAGATGTGCCTGCTAATCAGTGCCAAGTTACATACAGATAAATACTATGATTTCACTCACCAAAACTAACACTGACACCACACACATGGTTGAGAGAACCAGTTTGGGGACTCCATTTAACTGAGTATAGGCCCTAATTATACAAAATTAAGCTGCAACAGAATTTAAACCTCTTCAGTTGTAATGAATGGGGGAAAATGTCAACCAAACCAAATCCATTTCTTCTACAAGGCTGGAAATATGTTTATTTGCTCCTCTAAAGTTAGGCATTTTACCACGGGAGTCCATAGGGGTTAACTCCCTTTTTAGTTAGCCTTAAAATGACTATTGGAGGAACTACCATGTTCACTCGTCCATGTTTGCTTTATTTTTAGGCCCAGTGGCCACCTGGCAGCCTTACCCGATTTTGCATTAAGCCAAAAAGGAGCTGAGCAAACAAACTGTGTGCTTTTGCCAACAGATTTGACATCAGTTTCTTCATCTAACTCTAACCAACAAATGAGTATGTTTCAGAAAAGTCCAAACCACTCATTTAGGAGACAAGTAGGAGAAACTGCACTTTCAATAATTACAGTGCGGATGTCTCTGTTGCAAAGCATTTTAATGACTCAAAGAGGTCTAGCACATCTGCGTTGTATGGCAGGGCTGGTGGTCTGTGATTCTTATTGGGTTGTGTTTGATTTCTCATCTTAATGTGCCCTGCATTATGATCGTGCACACATACACATCGCACACTCTATTATATGAGCCATTTACCGTGTCGCCATGATAAAGCTCTTGGCGCTCTGCTGAAGCTGTTTTAAAGCCCAGACACCCTTAGCCATTACTCAGGTGATATGCCAGCAGCCCGTGATCAATGTGTCTCTAATAGAGAGGATGAGGGAGGGCAAAAAGCGAGAGAAAGGCAGCAATATTGATGGAGAGAGGCAAAGATAAGCACATAGAGGGATTGCACTTTTACCTTCACATTTATCACCTTCTTCATTCAGAGCAACAGCCGGACCTGACCTGTGCTGCAGTAATAGCCTGTCTGGATGCTGTATTTACGAGGTGTCATCAAAACAATCGCATTTATCTCGGCACCCAGATCATACACTTTCATCACCTTCATCATTATGTCTTCACCTATGTGTATGCAGGCGTGTGTGTGTGTGTGTCATGACCCATGCTTCAGCAGGAGTGAGGAAAGCTCAGGGGTGACTGTTGACTGTGATGCGGTTAATACTTCTTAAAGTTCAGCCAAATCCTGAGGTCATCACTCATGCGTCTGACCTTCAATCTGTTCACGTAGCTTATGTCCTATCAGTAAGTCTATCTAAGTCATACTTGGGCGGTCGGTACACAGAAATGCCTTCGGGCTTTGCAGCAGTTTTCAGAATGTAAACACTGTGAATCATAAAGAGGATTGAAGAGCACTGCGATGGAAGAAGAAACAAAGTGAGGGCTTTGGCTGTGCAGTGTTATGTCTGTGCATGGGAAAGGGAAGCTGAAGAAGCGAAAAGTTTGATAAGCCGGGTTGAGTGAAATGGGGGAGGTGCCATTGTGTGAGTGTGTGTTAGACTGGTTTAACGTGTGTGGGAGATGTGGAGAGCAGAGCGGGTGAGAGTGCCAGGCGATGTAGGGGGGGAGAGAGAGCGGGGGCGCGTCTGGAAAGTATCAAACCTCAGCTTTGCATATGTGTGAGTACACGTGCATATGTGGTGCGTTGTGGAGCCCCTCTGGTCTCTGGCTTGTTAACCTGCAGGTCACGGGCAGCTTCAGGTGATGAAGTCAATGCCTGGCACACAAGATGAAAATAATGAGCTCTTCCAGAAAAAGCACATGTTCGTGAATAAGAATACATACATACATACATGTGTTCATGGTGTTTTTAATGCTCTTTACATCAAAGTGCTGTTTTCACATTTAGGGAATGTGCTTACTTGTCAACCGATTCCCCTCTTGTGGCTAAATAGCAACATACACAGCAACCAACTGGCTGTAGATTCATATGTAACCGGCAATATATTTTGACTTACAGTATGATTTTGGCATACCAGGTGCATGCATAAAGCTTATCTCCATTCTATTTAAATCACTTCTCCAGAAAACCCTCATCTGAAGCATCTGAGAGGAAAACATCTTATTTTCTGAGATGGACTGAAGGCCACTCCTTTTAGAGCAGCCTGTATTTCTTTGATCATGGGTATTGTGTGTGTGTGTGTGCTCATTCTACAGAAAGAAAGAGGCCAGCAGCTGGTATTGTGTGTGTTACCCCATGAGACCTGGTTGGGGCTGGTGTTGTATTACATGTACTGGTGTTGCTGAGGCGAGGTGGGGTGAGTTGGTTCGATAGCCAAGAAGTGAGGGGTGATAGATGAACATGGTGATGCGGGGTGAGTGGTGAGGGGGTGGATACTGGCCAATTATGCCCAGACACCCAAAGCCATTCTCATGCTCTGGCACTGGCTATTGTGGTCTGGAATTTGAGAAATCCATTTGATCAGCACGGTGTGTCTATGTGGGTGTTATTTTGGATGGCTCCTGAGGACAAAACAGCCATCAGACAAGGAAAAGAGAGAACAGACAGAGGAGACACAGTGCAAGGCTTACCTGATGAATACACAAACCTTCAACACACATTTGAAAGCTTAGGCCACAGCCTAAGACTCAACATTTTCATCAGCAAGAATGCAGCACTACATGTTTGGAACACTCCAACCAAATGCAATCTTTTAGAAAAAAAAATGTTGTCTAGGTGAAGGAAAAGAAAAAAGAACAACATTCCAGTTCACATTGTGTGGATGACAAGGGTGGAAAGGAGGAGCACTCTGAGATATTTTATCTGCCCCTGCACTATTTTGCACCTCTGCACTCAAAGGGAATCCCATCTTTTTTCTTTGACCTCAGCATTCCTCAGACTAAGAGTGAATGCAAGGTCAGAGCGTGTGTGTATGTGTGTGAGAGACAAGTGCTCACCTTCAGAGTACTGAAAGTAATTAATTCGATCCTCAGCCATGCAGTTTTGATGGTTGAATAACCCAAAGAGAAAACCTACACCTTAGTGCTGGGTTTAATGTCTCATCTAAAGTTAAGGTCGTCCTGCTGAGATGATTTTTCTGCAGCTGAAAGTTCGAGTCTTTCATCTGTCTCTGGAAGATTTGTGATGCTTTATAGATTTACGAACACATGACTATGTGTCTTTTAAGGTAATTCAACTTAAATACATCATTGATCCCCAAAAGGGGTTGATATATAATTAAATCTCTATGGCAGGCCCTGTTGTTTGTAAAAATTAAACCCAAATGTCCTTTCACAGTAAAAGACCTCCCATATAACTGGTATAAGGACAAGATTACTGTGAAATCTGAAAGCTGTGAAATGAATAATGAAGAGGGGGGGGTTCAGCTATACAAAGCTGCAATTATTCATTTCCTTTCTCTGGCTTTTCACTACATAGAGTGCGTCCTGCACAGGTCACCCATCTGTTGCAGGGCTAACAGAGAGAGAAAGCAACTCACACTTGCATTCAGATCTATGGGCAATTTAGAATCACCAGTTAACCTAACCCATTTAATTCCGTGTCTTTGGAGTATTGGAGGAAGCCAGAGTGCACGGGGACAACCCATGCAAACTCTACACAGAAATGCTCCAGCCAGATGGTAAAGTCCAACTCAGGACCTTGCTGTGAGGCAACAGTGCTAATTACGCCGTCACCACACCTCTACATGCCTCAGTTATTGAAATGAAATGATCAGGGAGTGTAGCGTGCATCTCTTTGGAAGTACTGCTAAATCCCTGAAACTCTGAAAAGTGAAGTGCCTCAATCCCACATCTTTTAATGTTACTCTTCATGGCTGGAAATCACAAATCCATTATTTAGCAAGGTTTCTGCTTCATAATTCTAAATGTGGGTTTATGAACTAAAGTACAATTAGATAAATAGTAAAAAATTTAGCTTAATTAAAAACATATTCCAGTAGCACAATGCTCATTGGTACATTACAGACATTTAAACAGCCAGAGCATAATCTGCAAGCTGAGGCAGCGCAACGAAAACAGAAAAGCGTGAGAAGGTTTTGAAAGTCTGCATATTATGAGAAATACAACATTACTGAAAGTAGAGATCACCTTTACTACCAATGTGTCCTCTATCATCTTTTTAATGTGTGAAAATACAAGTAGTCATTTCATTACATGTGGTACCACTCCCTATCACTGCAGTTGTTGAGAACAAGTTGGTTCTTTCGCCAATAGCTCAGCGAGGATTCAATTTAACACATACTGCCACCTACTGACAGAAAGCACTACTGCAGCAAAGGTAGCATGGTAATATTTCCATGCCAGGTTGTAGGAGGACACCTAGTGG